TCCTTGACTTCTCCCATCCCCAAAATATTTCCGGTAGAGCAAGAACAGCATTTGGTGTCACTAATCTGCAGAAACACTTGGATGCTGGTACGGCTAAATTGGCAGGCATGTCATGGATCGAAGAGGAGAATTTTATGAAGTTTAAATAAGAAGTTTAAGGGGTGCTAATTTTTGTTGGTTTTAAAGACGCATGACTTGGTCTACCTCACAAGCTACCTTCCACCCAAATAAACTGCACCTTTTCAGCTCTTTCTATTTATACATTGGGTTCTGCAGGAGAGATGAAGTCAGCAGCAAATAAAAGCTACAACTCTGCTCTTGCAAATGCATCGTTAGGGTTGAATCACCCAAAGGTGGCAGAAGGACTCTGCTTGAAGACCGGACTGCTTAGAATCATTTACTGAACTGGGCATCACACTTTTAAGTGAAATTACTACTGCGTAGAGGCGTGGGACGGCCTGCCCTGGAAAACAAAGTCACCTAGCTGTCACAAAACAAGAGCAGGACAAGCAGGGAGATCTGTCCTGTCAGTTTATTTCAACCTTGATCTCACAGAGGGCTGAAATCCTGGCTCCGTGCCTTCCCCACCAAGCCTGCCCCGCTATGCTTTTCAGCAAGATTGCAGCTTGTTCCAAATGCAATTCCAGCTCCAAATAGCTGTCAGATGGGAACAGAGTCAGTCGCTACCGACCTCGGCTGGATTTAAAACAGCAGCAGAGACATAAAACGCTTTCTATTCTTCCTGCCCTTCAGCCACCCAAACTTTTGAAAGTTAAATTACACAGGTCACAGCTTGAAATATTGTAGAGAAGATGTAGGTAAGTCAAAGGACTGAACCTGATGGCCGGACAATGCTGGGAGGACAAGCAAGGGATTGCCCATCTGCATCAGCTGCTCTGACTCTTACCAGGCTGATAGCCCTGGATCTTATTAAGCGGCTCTAAGTGTGTTCTCAGCCTCCTGTTATAAATTCACATTTCATAAACCCTCCTCATTCATCCCTCTCTAGCCAGCTGCTGGAAATAAGAAGCACGTTTTGCTTTCACATGCCCCCATTGCAAGAGAGCGAAAAGACCTTCTGCTTTTTCCCTTTCCCAGCTTCACATCGGTCATCCTCCCGAGAGGAAGAGGTTTAGCTTTTCCCCAAAGCAGCAGCACAGTATTAACACAATTCTTGTTATTTTCACAGCTATTCACAGGGAACCTGGCAGCAGCAGGGAACGGCCACGGCAATCATCACGTCACTCTGCTGTGACTTGGCACCGGGGCTTTCTGCAGGCTCAAGGAGATAACCGCAACACTTCACATTTGGAAGGTTTCTCTGACGCAGCAAGAACTAAGAAATGTGTTCCCCCTCTGAGAAAGAAAACTGCAGAAATAGAGTGTGTTCCCCCAGTTGCCTGAGGCAAGCAAACAAATGGGTTAGTAAGCCCTAACTCTGAAGCGGACAGAAATGTTACGTACAGAGGTATTAAAACATGACAGAGTTCTCTTCACATCCTCCTTAAATCACAGTTGAAATCACAGTTTTGGCAGAGGGGAAAAAGCTGCAGCTAGATGTGGAAATGCAAAGCCGTGCCTCAACCCATCACAGAAGCATTCGCACTTGGAAAGTTGGCATCTGATTCTCCACAGCTTCGGTGCAACCATAAAGAGCTACACGGTTTGCCAATGGAGAGGCAACGGAAGATGGTATCATTCTCTTACGGAAAGCAGCTCTGAGTAGCTACACCACTGCCGGAAAATTCACATGAGGTTCTTCCATACCGTATATGACCTCCAACCCCTTTTTTCTCGAACCTTGGCCTTATCTGCACTGAGGAAGTCAACCACTGAAAGAGAAGTTTAATAAACGATTCCTCTGAACTGGTTCCATCTAGTGCAGATGGGCCTAAACTGCTTTCAGCGCTGTTCAAGAAAACATCAGAGACACCATGATTCCTACACATACATACACATACACATCCATTAAATGTACAGAAATAATATTAAAATGATTCCCACTACCATACCTTATACTGACTCTAGCTACAAGCTATAAACTTCACCTCAGTGAGGCCCGGGCAAGAATATTGGCTCTTTTGCATGCAATCAGAAATGATCGTTTATACAGTGGCAACCTCTGCACGAAAAAAAAAAACCAACCATAAAAGAGGAAAAAATAAAAACCTTTCACAAGCTTTGTTTTCAGGCTAGCCTAGTATGATATGAAGGACCAATTTCATGGTTTTCACCAGGCCAATTGAAATTAGTGAATCAGCAAAATAAGATGCACTGCTGGCATCCTGGACTGTTAGGATGCTCCTCCGTTCACAGTATCGATACAGTAAAACAAAAACCTGCTCAAGAAACTCACAGCTATGCCATACAAATGAAGGCATTCACCATTTTAAGTCAGCCCTTCATCACTACGCTTTGATGGATCGGTTGCCATCTGTTTCAGAAAAATGTTGCTTGTATAGCAGTTACTGCACCTTCACCCTTCTCTTCACAGCAAGCTTAGCAGGGAAACTTTCCCACTATATTTATATATAATATATTTATATAAATAATTTTATGTCTTTATAGTTTGGTAGTATTCTTTTAAAAGTTCTATTTTAAAACACTTAAAAATCTTTTAAGCAACTAAAAGTAACTTTTGATGTTCTCTAGTGTGAACAGGATAGGATTTCAAAGTTTTTAACTTTTTTCTTTTTGATTTTTGGTAACTTCAAAAGCTATGACTAAAGCAGCATACTCTGCAGATCTCCGCTCCTCCCCGCACCTCGATTGCAATGAAACCTACCTTAGCCACCCTCTTATCTCTCATCTTCTGCGACTGCTCTCTGGCAACCTTACTGTTTCGGTACAATCCTGTTTGACCTTCGACAGGAAACCCAATGGGACTGGTCCCTTGGGTGGCCGCTTAGAAAATCATTCACTGTGTGACGATGCACTTGACAGGAGAGGAGGAAGAAGGGACAGAAGGAAAACAGAGGTGAAGTAACAGTTTTCCTGTTTGAAATGGTCAATGAAATTGTACTTTGCAGGTGCCTGGCTCAGAACACCTGCAAAGGTTCCTCTCTTAGAAGCACATCCCTGTTACACGTGATCCTGGCACCAAGACCTTCCCTTCCCACCCCCCCACCCCCCAAAAAAAAACATTAGAGCCACGTCTGCTTTTTGAGAGAGACATGGGAGGAACAGTGAAACCCTTCACTTATAAAAGAGAAAAATATATAAAGCAAGGCAAGAATACATCACCCTTCTCCAAACTCTTCCCTCTAAAGGGGCAGGAAGATGATCCCAAGTCCCAGTTTGCAGGTGGGGAAAGCGAGGGTTGGAGATGTTTCCATGTGCCCAAAATTGTGCAGTCAGACTGGGGGCAAGCTTTATTTTCACTTGGTAAGTCTCCTGCCCGCCAAGCCCACGCTCTAACCGCTCGCCCGGCTTGCTTTGCCAAGGCAAGATGACGTGTATTCCTTTCTCAAAGTCTCATTGTTCCTCCCATCACCTTAAGGATCAGAACTTCATCCTTCCTTATTGTACACATTACACATCCTCAGGAGAACTCCTTCAACCAAACATTCTCTCCCAAACCCAATCTGCGCAACTTGTCGTTCATTTTCCCCCTCCATCATGAACAACTCAGCATCAGAACCAGAGAAAACTCTGAAAGTATTGCATATTTCTTAAAAGACTTCTTCAAAAGATGTCAAGATATTTGCACTTATCTACCTGTCCCATGCTTTTCCGTTTATGAAACACGTAAGCACGTGCAAACACCTACAATACACAACGCAGGCATGTCTCTCCAGGTTTGCTTAACTTGCTCTAAACGTCAGAGCTGCCTAGAATACAAAAGTTTAAGTCCATGCAAGGGGACAGAGTTGTGATTGCTCTAGGAACCATTCACTTTTAAGTTTCCTGACAAGGAAATAAAGTAGAGTTTTCTTTTCTTTTTGCATTTCATTGATAAAAAAGTTATCAAACTAGTTTGTAGAAACATGTTTAAAAGCAACCACCCACAATTGCTCGGCTGGGACAACAGTATTTCAGTATACCATATTGCTGTTATAAAAGATCAAGTGCGTGTCGAGGGAGGAGTAGGGGTGAAGGACGACTTTGGTAGCCAGCCTCTAACTCCGCAATTCAGCCAGTCCAGAAAAACTCTTCCTAATGCTCAGCAACACCTGAAGCATGGCAGCGCACTGGTCAGGACATCAGAGTGCTCTGAACTCTCCAGATCAGCAACAGCAAAAGACAACCTCCTCCAAAAGACCCCTCCAACCCTTCTCCCAACACATCAGAGTCTAATGCAAACCTCACAGCTGCTAAATTTCACTTTCAGTAGCCAAAGCGCTTCAAATTTTGCTGACCTCTAGAATACCGCTTTATAGCTGTGCCCACTTTTAACAAGGGGCGTTGAGGCCACATGCCTGGAACGGGCAAGCCAAAAGCCCTAAAATAATAGTTTAAGTAAGTAAAAAGGTAAAAAGAGACACACCAAAAATAAGACAGGGATAAATACACTTGGGCAAGGCAGGTTCCACTAGGACAGTCTTTTTGTTTTCTTTAACGTGGCAACTACCTGGGGAATGGAGGAAGGCAATGGCACCTTGCCCCTGCTTTCCCCTTGAGCTGGACCAGCAGATATGGCAAGGAGCAGCCCTGCATGCTAGGCTCACCGGGTCTGCACAGCTGACGGCCGGCAGGACCTAGCTGCTGGGCCAAAACACTGTCGAGAAATACAAATGACTGCTCGTCCCAGATCACTATGGAACATTAAAAAAATTTAAAATCCTGTCGATCCCTGAATAAGAAGTTGATTGACACAGTTGTTTTGTTTTTCTCCAAGAGGAGGAGGAATAAGGGAGAAAAACTTTTAACACTCGGCGGGGGGGGGGAGGAGGGAGAGAGAGAGATTAGGCTTTATGAGAAGCTGAGGTAGGCCTTGGGTTACTTAGCAGCTTTAAGAGAAAAGGGGGGGGGGAGGGGGGAGGGAGAGAGAGAGAGGGAGGGGGAGAGAGAGAGAGATTTCTATTTTGGCAACATCTTGGGAGCTTCTTTCTGTCCAGTGGTGGCATTGCACTAATTACAGTACCAGCCTGCCAGGTTGGTGCTGACTCTTTAGAGCCAAGAACGGGAAGACGGTCCTTTCTCCCCAGACTCTGTAGCCGTGTTTCAATCTGGTCCAGTCGTGGACACAGATCCCTGTGCCGTCTCCCCCACAGCGACAGCCTCCTCCTGCGGAGGAGATTCTTCCTCCGCCTGCCCCCGAGACGTGACGGTGGTTTCGGGGGAGATGCTGTGAGGCCCCTCCAGAGGCATACAGCCAGGGTGGTTCTTGCGAAAGTGCTGGTTGAGGATGGCCTGGAAAGGGAAGCTTTTGCCACAGACATGGCAATGAAAGGGCTTGTTGCCTGTGTGCTTGCGGATGTGATACTCCAGCTGATCCTTGCGGGTGTACTTCTTCCCACACATGCGGCAGACAAAAGGCGTGATGCCCATGTGGAGACGCATGTGCCGGTCCAGGCTGCCTTTCTGGTTGAAGGATTTGGCGCAGTAAATACAAGTGAGCCGTGGGTTGTACCGGAACCAGCGCTCTGAAACCTCCTGCTCCCGGAGATATTCCACATAACCGCTCACTCCGAGCATAGCCGATTCCTCCCCCTGCGAAGGAAGCAACAGGGATTTAAGTAACAAGCAGCCTAAAACAAATTGCAGGAAAGAAGATCAGGCTGCGGTCCAGCCAGTAAAGCACTGAAGCATGTGCCAAACCTCGAAATCAGCAGCACTAATGTCTTCAACCTCAAGCACACATTCAAGTGCTTAACTGGAGCCTTGGGGCTGAAGACAAATGAGCAATCAATTAGAAACCTCTGCTATGGTGGCCCCTTCTGCCAAGTCATTTGCTAGATCCGGGGAAGAAAAGTCAGGAGGGCGCTTAGCCACCGATTGACTTGTGGATCAAATGTGTCAATACATGTTATTTTTTTTAAAACTTGGGCCAGTTTGATAAAAATACTGTATATCACATTCTGGCTTACTTACTAAAGGTTAAAAAAAGAAGCCAATTGATGAGCTTGCAGTAAAACGAAGGTGGAATAAACTACAAATCATATCTGAAACTCTTCAGGTGTCACTTTACACAGGTATTTATTCATGTGTCATTCAGGATTCATTTTATAATGAATCACGTTTGCCTAAATGGCTGTGTAAACCATCCCAGCCCTGCGGCATTGCAGGGAAGGATCTGCAGCACAGAGAGCTGGCATGCCTGGCCCAAGTCACAGAGCGAGGACTAGCTGGCTCCTCATTATTTTCTGAAACCAGAAAGACAAACAGCCAAGGGTAACCCTGAACCACAAGCTCAGGCTCTAGGACAGCCGCTTCTGGCTATCATATTCAGAACAAGCACAAATACACCGTCTCCTGAATGCCTCTGTGCTGGAGGATGCAGTATTTGCACTCCCAAGTCTTACGCTGTTTCCCAATGATGCCAAACACAGACAAGCAACTAGCGTAATGGCAGGAGGGCCTCTCCTCTGGCAACCAGGGCTGTGCACACGCAAGCAGCAGTGTATTGTGCCAGGTGCTGTTGAATCTGGCTGTATGAGCACTGGTAGGCTGCTCGGGACTAAAGGAGATGCACAAAGCTATGGCACTTTCTTTCCATTCTACCACTGCCACTGGGCAGCGATCATGGGCAGACTATTTATAGCATCAATATGGCAATACCAGAAGAGTGGAAGGTGATGATACTTCCCCGTGTACACAGTAGCCTATGGTTTTACATTTGAGGCCACCTCACAATGGAGAAATAGTAGCAGCTTTTCTGTACGTAGAGCTAAAATTGCTTTGTATGTCACATTTGCCCTGGAGGGTTAGTTTGACCTGAAATTTTCTAGATGTATTCTGAGGACGCAGAACAAAGCTTTGGCAAAATGGGAACAAAAAGATATCTTTTGTGTTATGGAAGTGTATTACAAAGTTAGCAGACAGCAATCGTGATTTTTTTCCCCTTGCTTCATCTTACTCAAGAGCAAAGCAGCCTGGTAACTCCTCACCTGCCTCCAGCAATTTCATTTGACTGTGAACTGACACATTACTTACCCGCCAGGCACACAAGAGTTGTTCTACACAGTGTTGGGCAATACACTTGCACTATAGTGCCACTGCCATACTGATTGTATGCAACAAAAAAATTAGATCAAAATGATTAGGCACAGATATTACTACCATGCCCCACTTTGATGCACCCTATAGCCCATTATCCTCCTGTATTTCTGCATATCTCTCCCTCCTGCCCCAAAACTGTGCCCATACCGCAAGACAGCAGAGGAGTCGGATCTACTTTATGTTGCAAATTCTGCTATGCAATACAGTCCCTTGGGGATGAGACAGAGACCTCTGTACAAATCCACAGTCCTTTGACGCTCCACCCTAAAGGTTTACTGGTGTAGTGCCTGGAGAGCTTTTTGGAATGGTTTTGGCACTAACATAGAAAGGTTCAGCTGTTGTCACCCCTCAGTCTTCCACAGAAGCCAACCAACACCTCCTCCCTCAGCTCAGGCATTTGCTGTCAGTGTTTTAGGGCAGATTCAACTCTGCAGGCAAATGGAGTTTCTCCTCAGGAGTTGGTGGCCTGCCCAGAATGAGGGTTGATATTTATGCCTTCAGATAACAAGAGAAACTTGTGTTTTCCAGGTATCTGGCCGAAATCCCAAATGACAGCGAAAATCAGTTTTAAATCATGTACCGACAGCATACGTTTTCAGTGGGAGCAACTAAATCCTTTGCAACAGTAAAAGGTCTTTGTGTCACAAACAGTATTGCTTGCAAATATAAAATATTATACATTTTACCACAACACAGTCCCCTTCACCTTCAATGCCAACATTTACTTGCAAATTTCTTGATCTGCCTACCTGGGAACTGGGCTGCTTGGGCTCATCCATCCGCCCGGGAGACTCGCTTTTTGATCTGTACCGCTCAGTCACAGCAACCATGCTGCCAGAAGGGCTAAATCTGTGGGGTGGGGGAAGAGTGTAAACGGAGTTTTTAATGGGCATCAGGTCACTACAGTGTTTAGAACAACGGGTGAGCAATAGAGGCACCTGTATAGCATCTCTTCATCCTCACCAGCTAACACACAGGAGGCGGAACAGCGCAAGTATAAAGGAAAAACCAAGTCATACTGGTCTGTGGTTTCAGTCTTAATATCTGAAAAATAAAACTGAGTCATTTGGCTTCCAGTTCAGTAACAGAGAGCTTTTTGGCTGCTATCGCAAGTAAACCAATATGGGCCCAGTGACTCAGGAACTGTACAACAGGACAAGAAACCATTTCTCTAAGGGCACCTCTCATTCACCACCCTCACCCCCCTCCCCCTTTCAAGTGTGAAACAAAAGTTATGTGATGGAGTCCAGGTAGGAAACAGCGGATATTGAGTGCCGTGCAAAAAGAGATGCTCGAGGCTAGCTGATCCGTGGAAAAGAGTTAAGGAACTAGGACAGGATCGCTCTCCCAAGGGCCAGCTCAAGATCATTCCCACTGACTGATTTATTAAGCGACAAGTGACAGAATATCCACTGCTTCCAGGTAGCTGTTCCCCCATGGGACCAGAGGGATTTAGCTAGAAGAGAGGCAGGTGTGAAGGGAAACCCCACAAATGCAAACCCCCCAAACACAACAGATCTGCCCTTTATCAGATCCGTTCTTTGGTCTGAGCTAAGGGCAAGAAAACAAATGCTGGAGTGGAGGGGAAGCAGATGGATGGAGAATGAAAACATAGCAGATTTCACTACCTATTTCAATAAAGGCTTTCTGCTCTTTCATATAAATCAAAACAACAGCAGAGGCCGATGGGCTCCCCACTTCAGCTGCTTCAGAATATGTAAACCCATGACCCACTGCTGACATGGACCACCGGGAAGAAAATATCCTCTTGACCTACAGCTGGTGACCAGCTTGTTTCTCAAACAGAACCACCCCCAGATTTTCAGGCCAGAAGGCATCATTGCAATGACACTTTGCGTAACATATTGTATGTGCCCTCGTTAATTCCGATGCTGAGCACGTATCTACTGAGACTGAACTGCAATATCTTCTTTAGACAAAAACCCCACGTCAGCTATACACCAGGAGGTAGAGATTCCAACCTATACAACTATAAGTGCTAATAATTAATTTCCCAATCTAGCCTGTACCTGGAGATCCTGGTCTGATCACTACCCAGCCAAAATACTATAACCCAAACTGGATACGCTTTCTAACACCACGAAAAACTTCCTTCAGTGCTTATGCTTAATGGCCACAGGAAACATAAGGGGGAAACGTTCCAAAGCGACCGACCCAGCCAAGTGAAAATCTTGCACAATCTCCTCTTACAGCCAAGATCAGTAATTAAGTTAAAGAAAACTCACCTGTCAATCTCACTGCTGGTTGGCCTGACCACTTTGGCCCCGGAGGACCCTAAGGCGTAAGCTTCTTGGCCCATCGATCCGTGGCCTGTGGTGTCGATCACCATAGCAGTGACCTCCTCAGCGCTGCTCCCATCCTCTCCCGACGGCTGATGCTCTGCCCCGAGCCACTCCTCCAGGTTCTCCGTTTTAATGCGTACTCCTCCCAGCACCCGGACATCGTCGTCGTTCCGTCCCCCACGGTCTCCCATTCCTGTCTCAACGTACCACTGTCCCGCTCTGTTAATCCGTAGTATGGGCTCCCTGCTTTCCACGTCTGAACTCTGCTCAATTATCTGGGGGCTGGTGGACTCCTCAGGTGGGCTGAGCTCCCGAATGTCCAGTACTGTGCTAACCTGGCCCAGGCGACTCCCCTTCGGGGTATTGTGACGTGGGCTCAGAGAACGGTTTAGATTTGGCGTCACCCGGTGAGACTCTGGTGGTCTCTCCTGATGCTTTGTCCTGGTCTGGCTCAATTCTGCTTCCACCTCTGCCACGTTAATTTTGAAATGAATTCCCTCGAGAATCTGCGTGCATTTGTCTATGATGTGCTGCATCTGCAAGAAACTGGCAGCCGTTAGGTAACTGATGATGTCAGCCAGCTGCAGACATATCCTACCGGTGTAACAAAAGGAAAGGAGCTGCTCGAAAACAGAAGGGTTCTTGATGACAGAAATGGAAACGGTGCTCATTTCGTTCAAGGACATGTGGTCGCGGAAGTAGGGTGAGCTGGCAGCCAGCACCACCTTGTGAGCGCGGAAAGCTTGCCCCTGCACATTGACCACGATGTCACAGAGGCGACCCTGCATGCGTAACTGATTCAGGTGGCTCAGGACAGAGTTACTGAAGTCAGGAATCTCCAGCTGAATGTTCCCACTCTTCTCCATGGCTGTCCCAGTTGCAGGTGCACAACCTTACTGAAAAGGGGGAAAAAATACCATCGTTAAGAGAGCTAGTCTATCATTTGCATTTAAAACATTTTTTACCTACTTTCACGCAGTTTGAAATACTGGGATTTTTAGAGAAGTCTCTCACCATTTAATTTACAAGCACCTTGCAGCAGTCCTCTGATCTTTATGTGCTGTACACCACCTTTCACAAGAGTTATGTTAAAACAGTCCCCGATAAATCCCCATTCCCCATTCCTTGTGGCTTAAGTGCTCAAAACAGTTCGTTCTGTCAGCCTCAATAGAAGCATATTTGCATTGTAAAAGGAACATTAAAAATGGTTCAGGTACTAAAAATAGGCAACTGATTGCATAATGGATTAAAATACTTAGCACTTGTACCTTCTAAGCACTTTGAAAAGGGGAAAGTAATATTGTTATCCCTCCTCTGTAGAACAGGAATCAGGAAGGAGACAGCGGGACCTAAATTCTCCTCAGAGACTTTTCAAAAGCTGACCAGCACACATTTGAGCTCAAGGCATCTTAAGTACATCGTTAAAACCAAGATACTCATCATATGTGGCATTTCTGACACATGGCAGAAAATACACAACAGCCTGGTGAAAGAAAAAGAACAGAATCCGGTTCTAAACACCAGCTTATCAGACCATCCACTGGGCACAAGTGACTCCCTGGCAAAAGAAGCTGACGTTTGTGTGGTTTGAGATATTGCATACAGCAAAAGACTACTTATGAACAATGGGGATTAACAAACTAGCTCTCCTAGTTTCCCTTCCATAATTCATTTTTCTATAATCATCACATTTCATTTTGGCAAAGTTTGAAAAGGAGCCTTGACCATATATGGTAAAAATTCGGAATGATCCAAAATTAGACGTAAACTCTCCCAAAAAGGAAAAAAAAAAAAAAAGGAAAGTAATAAGTTTAATATATGGTAAAAATTCGGAATGATCCAAAATTAGACGTAAACTCTCCCAAAAAGGAAAAAAAAAAAAAAAGGAAAGTAAATAAGTTTATTAAAGACCACTCATGGCATGAACAGCTTCCAAGCTGGATGGCATCTGAAGTGTCGATTAAGCAGAGTGCTGCAGATATCAAAACAATTTCAGGCAGGCCGGGAACACCGAGGCTCACAGTGCCTACTCCGAGAAATCTCAGAATCAAAGGGAGTAGCCCACAGGAAAGTGTATGTGCCTTTGAAGGACTTTTTTTTTTTTTTTAATTTATGAACGGTGCAGGATAGCGCATGTTCATATGCCCAAGCAGACTTTGTGCAAACTTGGCAAAATACGTTACTAAACCTGAAGCTGCAGGACAGCCTGTCAACCTTGTGAAGTCACGCAGAGACTACTAAATGGCCGGATGGGTCCGTGTCTCTGGGGTGGGTGAGATCAGGGGTGCACAAAACTTCACAAGGTGCAGCTTAACAGCGCCACGTCTTAAGGCTTCTTCTCCCTTTCCCCTATCTTTAGAAGAAAGCAATAAAACCCACAAAAATCAAGGAACTATAGCGCACAGGTCCGTGTCAACACAACGTTAAGAGCAGAACTTCAAACGCACAAAACAAGGTGAAATAGAAAATCCAACGTCTTACCTGTAACGTTACGAGTAACATGCAAAGGGGAGGAAACGAGGGTGGTATCTTGTTTTCCTTTTTTCTTCTGATGTAGTAGAAAGGTCTGAAAACTTTTTGCCCCCTTCCCCTTTAAAAGGAAAAAAGAAAAGAAAGAAAAAATGTAGCACGGAGGAACTGGGTTCTCCTGAGCACAGTCAAGAACGTCAAGCTTCATCATTCTTTGTTTTGCTGGAGGATACAGCAGCAGGATTAGCTAACCATTCCATGACGTCCCACACCAAACCACAGAGAAAAGCTGAATCTTATCAAATTGATCTTTCCCCGCTGTCTGCTCAGTGTTTGTGTTGTAGCGATGCTCATTAAAATAAAAAATGGATGTGCAAATAACCTGAATAAGTAATTTCCTCTCTTATGGGGCTGGTGTCTCTGGCACTAACCCTGCAGCATTTAAACACACGCAGAGTTTTCCTCAAATGAGCCGTCTCACTTACACCATTAGGAACACTCACACAGCCGAAATCACATCGAGCACATGCAAATGTTTACAGGATTGGGGAGCCTGTAGTCTCATAATCTTCCCAAACCACCAGTTTCTAAAGCGATAAACCCCAAAGCATTCTCTTAAGGAAGGCAAGCAAAGGAAAGGTGCGTGGGCATCCTTTGTGAGGTGAAACACCCTTGCCGAGGCAGGGACCACCCAGGTAGGTTTGCGCAGGGAGGCGAGGCTGGAGGCAGAGGCCGACTGTTCATTTCTCAGGGGGTCAGCTGGGGACGTACAGAAAGAGAAGGGGAAAAATAATAATCAGATCTTAACTGCTGAGTGCGGCTGCATACGGCCCCGGTCAGAAGTCAGCTGCTCCCAGGGGAGCCCTAAAAACTATTTGCAAGCTGCTTCTCTGAAGGCAGGGAAAAATCTGTCTGCCGCTGACGGCAGGAGAAAAGGACCCATGTAGCTTTGTTTACCTCAGTATCGAAGAAGTGGCATTTTATGATACGCTTTGGGGACAACCTCAGTCAGAGGCTGGCGAGGGGGAATCTTTCTTTTTGGTTCAAACTACCCTTGTCAGAAAACAATTTCTGTCCTCCCGGGTAAGGGGTCTATCACAAGCTTATGCACCGCAGCCAGCAGCGCAATGACATCTCTGTTTTTGCCTTTCCTGGCGCAGGCCTACACATTCATCTTCTCAGCCTTTACCTGCAGGATGAGCGGGATCTCCCACTGAGCAGTGCTCTTTACAGAGAACATACTGAGACATTTATCTCTTTTTAATATGATTTAAAGTATCACCAGCTGAGACTTGCACTTACTTATCTCAGAAAATGCCTTTCACCCAGTGAGGCGAGTGCAACTACCAAGACCGGGAGAAATTCTTGATTCATCGGGCCCTCGTCAAAAGCCAAGACAGACCATCTGCAGCAGATGATGCTCAGTCTGAATATATCCTTTTGGCAGAAAACTGTCAAGCTGGGGAGCTGTTTAGAGGAGGTGGAACTGAAAAGTCTCGACTTTTAGGGCTGAGATTTACCACGACTGGTCAACTTGACTACTTTTAAGTTACGAAGGAGCCTTAATAAAGATAAAAACAATAGTAACTCTAAATTGAGATGAGAGATGCTGCCTTTCTCACCCTCCCCTGCCTCAACTAGAAGAGCAAAATTAACAGTGCTTGGTTTATTCCCCACTAAATCGCTCATAAGCCATGACTGCAGGCCTTCGCTCCCGGCGCGAGGTGATTACGGTGAATGTTTAGCCCTGACAGCTGCAGAGAGGCGCCTGAAGACCCGAACCCAGGGGTGCGCGGAGAAGGCGGACCGAAATCCACCCTCCCCTCCCCCCGCGGGCTAAACCACCCCCACGCCGTCCCGCCCGCGGGGCTGACAACGCACCGCTCCCCCTCCCGCGGGGGAGAGTG